TCCCACGAAATGCTCAAGAAGAGGAATTTCGTCAAAGATGACGTCATGTTCCTCAGGGTCAAGGTCGACCCCAGTAAAATTGTAGCCGTATAGATTGTCATGTCGTTATTTAGTGTTAGTTCGTTTAACAGTCATAGATTACAATGTAAGATTCTTGCTTTCAACCGATGATGGTTGTCTTATTTCTCTGTATATAATTGTAGCGAGTAAGCAATTGTTATCCTTTCACTAAAGATCTCTTGAGTTTCACTGCCCTTGAAGAACATACTAAACGTTGTTTCAAAGTAAATCAATTTAACCTTTCGTAATTATATTTTTTTTTAAGTAACCTAATAACCTTTTCAGTTTTTTTTAGTTTAATTGGAAATGTATATTAATAGTATTAACGAACAGTAATTTTGTAATTTGAATACTAATCTGCTGATCAAAATTAACCTATTTGTAAACCAATTCTAACAATACTGACAATAATACAGTCGTGTGCCATATTTCTATAAGTTAATTTGTCAAATCCGTATCAAATACACACATTTTTATAGGATACTGCAAAAACTGTGTGTTATTCCCAGTAATGTTCAAAAGCATTTTTATTGGCCTTCAAAATAAAGGCGATTTGAAAAATGCTTGGACTTAAAAATCTTTGAGACACGTTTGGTTGTTGGCACATTTTGTATATAATTCTTATTTACATTAATTTATCTTAATATATTCGGTTGTTGTACATACAGACGAATTGTCAAAGTAAGTTTTATGTAAATAGAAAAGATGTTACTTTGAAAATTAAATGTCTGATTTTCTGTGTGTTACGAAGCTGGAATTAGACCAAAGTTAGATAACTTGCATTGAAGCACTCTGCATGTCTTAGCAAAGTTGTCAAAATAAAAACACGGCTATAGCTGACTGTTGATTATGTATTTGTAAATAATTATTTATAAGCAACATTCAATGTCTAATTGTAGTTTTCTTATGTAAATAATATACTTAATATGGAAAATAATTGTATATCAAATAAGTTGAGAATAATAAACAGATAAAAAAATGTCATCAACGCTTGTATCTTTGGCGATGGATAATTTAAAAAACAAACATTGGTCTTTAAATATATTTCATAATTATGGATAATTAAATGGAGCATTATAAATTTGAATAAAAATATTGCAAATAATAGTTTATTTGCAATTTTTTATCAAATTATGATGCTTTGAACATTCAAATTCACCCTATATTTGTAATATTGTACCAATTGTTTTTCTATTTTTATTTCATTATACATTTAGTCAAAGAAACCCTTAAAATATTTGATTTATTGTGATTTTGTATAAAACTAACAACGAAAATTTTATAGTCATTTAGTTCTGGTAATTAATTAATAATTCTAATCCCAGTTTGTGGAATTAAAATCGCACAAAATCTAATGTTTATAACTTACACATTGTAAATAAACATTTGAAAACTAATGTATACTTTGTAATATGTGTGTTGAGTTAAAATATAACAATGTAAAATTATTTGGATCTCTGAAAGCGCTTGTATATAATCTCAGAAGTAATGTTACATTCCAGATTAAAAAGATTATTGGTAAGCTCAAAGATGTACAGTCATAAGCAAAAACACAAGATAACAGACTCAAAATACCACAGATTATGTAGTCTGTCTATTTATATAGATCAGTGATGAGTCACAGTTTTTCATCAATATTTTGATCTATGTGTGAAGTCACAGTTTTTCACCAATATTTTTATATGGTCAGTTCAATAAGTAATTTAGAAAAAGACAATGAAAAGTAGTACTAAAAATTATATTGTTTTAAATTATGTATCCTTGTGACTGTACATTAAAAATTTATGAAGCAAGCGAACACCAGGACGAAAAATAAGGAGACAAAATTATTTTGCTATTTTATTATTAAGTTCTCATAACAGTTAACGCTAGTGATGTTCTCGTAATTTTAAACCGCCGTTATAGCTATAGCAGTTAATATAGCAATATGAATTTATAGTTATAGCTAAGTATATTAAAAATGTTTATTTTAGTACCTTATCTGTAACAGATATAAGACTAATAACATACTCTAAGATAATATAGTTGATTAAGCTTTTGTATTTTAGTCTGTAAGAAACAAAGATGATTAAAAAATTAAGATGGAAAAATATATATTTTTTCTTCACATTAATTTATCTTTTATTCCATATCCTTGAACACTTGTAGAATTATATAAAAGACTTTTAAATATGAAAATCTCTATAATAGTATGAAAAAATATCACTTAAAATTCTCGAAAAATTACTCGCTAAGTCTTAGTAAAAGGTGAAATATCATATAGTTAGATATTTCAATCCAGAATAATTTAAAAAAAATAAGACAAACAGTGAAATAATAATTTAACATTACCTTGAACATAATAACAAATGAACACTAAGATAAGTACACAAAAATGTCGAACTTTTCATTGTGGCATCTAGAAAAAACTGACAGAGCAACGGCCAGTCCTCTGCACTAAAACATTGTATCACAATTTATTTAAAGGGAAATAAAAGTAGACAAGAAAGTACATTTTATTTACAAAATTATACTACACTTAACTAATTACAATATACTCTGTGAGCTGCTTGGCTGACTGATAGACGTGTTGAGGCTAGGAGGCATCATCTTTCTGGCATTCTGAAAAATAATATATAAATTATTATGTAATTTAAACACATATTCAACTAACGAGCAATCAAATACGTTTAAATCAGGTTTTATTAAATTTCTCTTCAGATAGCATATATTAAGAAATAATTTGCACAAATCTATATTAATTTTATAAAGAGGAAAACTTTGTATTTTTGTATGTATTGAAATAACCCAAAAACTACTGGACCGATTTTAAAAATTCTTTCACCATCAGAAAGGTAATAAATCTGTGAGTAACATAGACTATATTCTGTTATTACTAATGTTAAGAAACAATAAATAAACAGCGTGTTTCTGGATGCTGGCTTTAAAAAATCAATAAAACTTTAACTTCTCGGCTTACGCTGCCTAAACCAATAGAGGTATATAAAAATGATGTATGAAAGGTATATACCATTTTTATCCTGTGCAACTCGTTCATAGCTTCCGGAAGCAACGGCTTCACAGAATTAATCTCCATCATTGTTAAATGATCAAGTCTACCGTAACTGCCTCCAGTTTTCATAAGAGCATCCATTGATGTCCTTAACTTAGACATCCGTATGTCCCAGATATCTTTAATTATTGTTTTTATTTCTGAAGCTCTCGGAATATCTTCCGCAGCAATTCCCAATATCAGTTTAGCTTCAACCATGTAGTGTTCATTAGGCATCTTTGTGAAGAATCTGAAAATATTAGATTACTAAAAAAACATTGCTTTTATTGCTTCATGTAACTGCTTTGGTTATGTTATAGCTATCCTAATTTATATGTGCCTAGGTCATGTGTTAGCTACAAAATTTACAATATGGGGACATAATTTGATTTAAACGATGGCAAAATAATCTTGATAAATGTATAAATTACCTTGACTTTTTCTCCTCTTCTTTAATGTTTTCCAAAACTTCAATGTCCATCCAATCTGGTGCAACAATTCTACATTTCTGTTTCTGTTTTAACATAACACCTAACCATAAGGGAACGTTCATGGGTAAACCAGCCCGGAACGGCCCAAACTCGCCGCAAATTAAAAATATTTTATCATGAGAAAAGTTCGGTATTATACTAACAATTCTATTTTCACCTACAAATTCGATTTCGTACGGATCCATTTTATCGATATTTCATTAGTTTGTTTAAACTTATACAACAAACTTTAAACTTAAAACTTTTGTTTTCCCTCCAATTTTGATTTTGAAAGTTAATTTGACATTGACACATCATTCATTTGTTTTTCAATTGGACTTTGACATAATATTTAAGATGGAATCATGCGCAAAAATCGTAAAAATATTTCAAATTCCATTTTTTTTAATTAATCTTCCAGTTAATTTTGAATTTTCATGATAATAAATCAATCGGAACCTATTTCGTAATTTCTCGTTATACAATTATTCCTTTAACCATCTACTAGACTGTCAAAGTACTAACACAGGAAAAAGGCATTGTTTTAGTTTTGTCATTAGATCATAGATGGGGCTATTTAGCAAGCAACTTTTCATTCGAAGTTCTAGTAGACCTAAACTTATCTAAAATTTTATTTGATCAAGTGATATATGAATCGTTTCAATGAAAGTAAAAAAATGAATTTTAATAAAAGTAATAATTCAACCAGAAACATTTTTAGCAATTTTTCGTCACATAATTATGTCTTTAAATACGCCATCTATTAGACGGTCAAAGTACGACACAGTGAAACTGTTTAAAGAGCATTGTTTTAATTTTGTATTTAGATTAAAGATGGCGCTATTTAGAGAGCAACTTTAAAACTTTATTCGATGTTCTAGTACATCCATACTTATCTGAAAATATATCTAAAACCTCTCAAATTACTTATTATCCCTCTCCAACTAATTCCATAACTGTTTATTTGATCAAATGATATATAAATCGTTTCCAACTGGAAATTACGCGAACGCGATCGATGCAAATCGTTTTGGCAAAGTGCAAACTCCTAATTACTAGCCGTAAATTAGGGTGGCCGGTTGACAATGTCTCAGACGGTTGATATTTATGGCTGCCC